ATGGATGGATGGATGGATGGATGGTGTTTTCTTACGAACTGGTCTGATGACACAGTTATGTTTCGTTCATTCCTTTATATAAAGTAAAGGGTGTTGAAAGGAGACGGAGGTCAGGGGATCACAGCAAGGCAATCTCACTTGCTCAAGAGGTGTGGTATAGACTCAGAGTTGGCAGTCAGAGACTATTGTCAGCTCATTAGTCTTGTTGTTGTAAAGATCTGACCTGTTTGTGAGCTGGTTCCTGGTGCAGATGTTCCATTTGAATGTGAGTCTTGGTTAGCTGTCTTCTCAAATGGTCTCCTCCAGCTGTGGGAACGGTTCCTAGAATTTGGCTGCTGTTCTGTCTCTTGGTGTGCTACATATGCTTGGTCTCATTGTAAGAACACTACATGTCTGCTACAAACCTGCATACACTTCAGACACATCTCTCCCATTTCTAGGTGCAGTAGAAATTATTTAGAGCTTTACTCCAAGCTTGTGCTGTTGCAGTTTAAACAGGTGGTTGTTACTACAGCACGTATTTATGTGTTGCTGAAAGTTGCCCCGACTCTGCCATGCACCAGAAAGAAGAAACACACACACAAGAAAAGATCTGTACATCTGTTCTCCCCCCTCAGTCCTCCCTTCCTGGCTTCTTATCTCATCTTTCTCCTTTGTTACCTTTATTTCTTCTTTCTTCCTTACTTCCATTTCCTTAATCCCTGGCCATAAGAAAAATACATTTTCTTTTTTGTCTCTTTCCATCATAGTGCTACCTTTGATGTTTTGGTGTCTCAGAGCTGAATCTGTAGTCTATACTTCCAGCCCTTCTTGTAAAGACCCTGCAATAAATCAATGTCTGTCTGAGTGCGAGTGTGTGTCTGGGTGTGGATGTGAGCTTTCGCATGTATGTGTGAAAGAGGGAAAGACTTGAGTTAGCCAGAGTGACAGAATAGATTAATAGACCTGCATATGGCTCAAAGCACCACTTTACCCCCTGCTGCTGGTTCAGAGTACTACATCAAACACTGCAGGTGCTGGAAGGGTTGGAGCAGGTTTCAAAAAACAAAACAAAAAGCAGCACTAATATGTGACCTTTTGGTGAGTGAGACAAATACAGTAGTTAATATACATGACAGTTCCCTGTATTGATCAGCTGCTCCAACACCTGGAATCAGACGATAAAGATGATGGAGGAGGTGATAACTTACACCGTTTAGAATAATCACAGATTATGGAATTGGGTATTACAGTAATGACTTGATCACAGCGTTGTTTACATGCGTGATGATGACATTTCTTGATGACAGTCATTACGATTATGCTGCTGGTGGCGTAATGGTGATGATAATGATAATTCCATCTAATGCTTCTTATTCTTCCAGGCTCTGGACAAAGACACTGGTAACTACAGTTCTATGATATACCGGCTCATCATTCCCCCTCCTGCTGGTAAAGATACTAAAGACAGCAAAGACGGCTTTGTCATCGAGCCGTACAGCGGCGTGGTGAAGACGGCCATCATGTACCGCAACATGAGGAGGTCGTATTTTAAGTTTGAGGTGGTTGCTACGGACAACTATGGTCAAGGACACAGCAGCAAGGCGGAGATAGTGGTGTGTATATACTTTTGTTTCAGACACTGATGGCAGGTTTATAATTGTTTCTTAAAGGGAGGTTTATTTCCACTTCTAGCATATTCTACATTCAACATAAAACAAGCTGGATGACATGTTTTAACGCTGCAGCAGGGAGATTTATGCTTTGAGAATATCGTTTAGCAGATAAAAAAAACAAATTCAATTTGTCACAAGCTTGAAGCATATTTTGATGAGAAATGTTATCTATTCCACTGCAAACTTTTTTTTTCTCATTTGCTCTGATAAGGTTTAGTGAAATGATTCAGAGCTGAGCTGTTTGTGGTTCAATTTAAACGCTCCAACAAGTTTTATTTGCTTCTTTTTTCTCTTTCTTTTCTGCAGGTGTCAGTCGTGAATCAGCTGGACATGCAGGTGGTCGTATCGAATGTTCCTCCAACTTTCGTGGAGAAAAACAAAAACAAGCTGCTCAGGTAATAAATGTATTTACTGTACGATGTTCCCGTCATTCAACGTAACAATTGTCATTTTTAAGATGTGGGCTGATGCTCTGATGCTTTTATCCAGAGAGTGAGCAGCCTGGGTTCAGCATCATGGAGCTTCAACATGGCACAAAGCTGTTGATAAACACTTTGTCTGCTACACCACTGAACCTCTGCTTGCATAATATGCATTACCAGACTTTGATGGACAGGCAATTACCCATTAGCCTGTTCTACTTACATTAAAGTACTTTTAAACGTGTAATTTCATAGAACGGCAGAGTAAAAGGCACAAGGAACCCATCTGGCTGTCCATATGTACATGTCACTCTTTTGTACAAGTCACAAATACTTAAGAACAGTCAGTTTTATATAAGCGTGCATTAACAGTCACACGGTATTGAAAGTATGATTAATTTGATATAATTTTAGTTTAAACTGTTCTATCAGTCAGTGGATTTCCTATATTGATTAGGAGCTGTGGCGTCTCCACAGAGAGGACAGAAGTTATAATTGCTACATGGGGAAATCAACAAAAGTTGATTTGGACCACAAACAGTGTTTAAAAATAGTCGTTTTATTATAATGAAGTGTCCCAGTAAGAATAAAGCTGCTAGTGTTGTTGGTAAAGTAGACCCCCCAGTGGGGCTGTGACAGGGTCAGACCACCACTCACAGCTCAACCACATTTACAGAGCAAACACTGGCAGCTGCTACTGTTGTGAAGAGGGACACATTTTATCATGTTCATGTGTTGGCTTTTGTTGAATTTTTTGGTCGTTTTAAAATTTATTCAGGTTTTGCTCAGATGAAAGTATGAGAAAATATTTCCACGATTTTCTGCAAAGTTTGTTTTTGAAATATAACCTGTTACCAGTTGGCTGCTTAGTAATCCTCTCCTACCTTCTCTCTCTCTTCAAACTAGCCCATGCTATTTAAAATATTCCTCGCTATGCTGGAAACATTTGGGGATCAAGCCCTAAGAAAAATGACCTTATCAACACCACAGTGGCAACAAAAATTGCGAGATACTCTGAATTTGCTCCGTAGCGGCTTAGCTTGGTTCAGGAACTGGCTTCAATCATGTAAAATTATCTCTTTCCACACTCTGGGAAAATGTGTTTTCATTCATGAACACAAAATGCATAATTCATGATATGATATGATATTTCTGCCATATGCACACTCACCAGTGGGCCTTTCCGCACCGACTAACAAACACTGGGGCGCAGCTCAGTCAGGTTGCTGCTTTGTTTTGCATCGCACGCATAATTTGATAATGACGTTTTAAAGCACTTACCATCTTTGCTGTCCCCGTCACTCTTACACATGCATGCAGACGAACGCGCACACGCCTCAGTCGGAGCGTTCCTGCTGTGAGCAGGTGTTTCTAGGGGGACAGAAATCAATATTGCGCAGCACGAGTCTGCCAAGCTGGCAGAATTTCTTTTTTTTAATGTCTGCTTGTTGTGTGTAGCGTGACTGGAGTCTCGTGCCTTCGCCTTCCCATGCATGGGAGTATAGAGCTCTATTTTTCTATATATGATGTGTGTGTATCGCATCAATCCCAAACACACTGAATGGTAAATGGGCTGCACTTACATAACACTTTTTTTTTTTTTTTTACCAGAGCAGACAAAGCACTGAGAAAAATGAGTGTGATGCCAAGAATTAAAATCCAATATTTTCAATCCCCAGCATTTTGGAACGCTACGTCCAGGAGCAGATACCAGGAGCAAAGGTTGTCGTGGAAACCATCGGGCCCCATCGCCATGGTGATGGAATGGAGCAGGAAGACTACACCAAGTCGGACCTCATGATTTACGCCATCGACCCTCTGACGAATAGAGCCGTAGCGAGACAAGAGCTCTACAAGTGAGAACTTCACCGTCTAATCCATGACAAGTAAAATGCCAGCTGTCCAAAAGCTCAATATACCGAACTGGGACAGGACCTAATCTACACTACTTACTCAATTAAGTAATTGCTAAATTCACTGGCATTAATGTGGTTTTTCAAGTGCTGCCATTCACTCAAGGTTTTAGATATTTAGTTGAAGGCAATTTTGTACTTTCTGGCTGTCCTCTGTCTGGTTATGTGATTGTAGCTTTGGCAGCCATAAGGTTCACATGAGCCGTCATTTGCACACGTTCCATTAATTGTCTATGTAAGTAGCCGTGCAGTGCATTCTGGTAGCAGCGCATTTCATTTCCAGAGATGGAGCGTCCCCTTTGGCCACTTCTTATTTGCATAAAGTTGAAATCAAGGATTCTTTATACGAATCAGAGGCATCCAGCAACCACTTGCTGTTTTCTCCTGAAAGCCTTTAAACTAGCCGTTGATCTAATATGAAGACCGACTGAGCAACTGCATGGCTTTTTTCCCATCTCATGTGTTCTCTGAGGCATCTTCTGATGAGCTGTTTTTAAAATATAACCGAAATCTTCTAAATGAACTGCAATGTTTGTAATCCAGAAGCAGGCAGCCTATGAGTGAAACTCTGTCCAATCAGATGCAACCAGTGTTTGCAGGAGGGTGTAGCTTGTTGTGGTTTCCTGTTGGAATGCACACACTGATCATCTTATCGTTACACTGCTTTACACCCATCACGCGTCTAGTGCTGGGAAGTGGCGCCATCCCTCGTTTACACAAACACCCTTGTGGACACCATTGGAGACCAGTTTGCTGCCTGTTGTGCATACAACTCAAACACAATCCTAGCTGTGATCACCACTCCTGACTCCACGTTATGGTATTGCCACTTAAATGCCGCCCACATCACACTGTCTTCTCCTCCCAAGGTTCCTTGATGGTAAACTGTTGGACATCAACAAAGAGTTCCAGCCTTTTCTCCCTCCCGGTGGTCGAATCCTGGAAATCAGAACCCCTGAAGTGGTGACCAGCGTAAAGAAAGCTGTGCAGAGTGTAGGCTACACGGAGGGCGCGCTGTTGGCTCTGGCAGTTATTATTATCATCTGCTGCGTCCCCGCCATACTGATTGTCATTATCACCTATAGACAGTGAGTATGATTTATGTGTATTTTTGGTACAAAGCTGACACTTCAATCAAGAGCAACCTGTACTTAGTGATGCTCTACACCGAAACTGAAAGCAAACTGACCCAACTAACAATTATTGTTTGAGTGGTCAAAGCTGTTAAGATGTCGCTTATTACTATACTCAGTACTGTAGACCTTCACAGCTGTCCAAAAATGATTGAAAACATGCAATTCAGCCATGTCGTTGCACTATAATGAGCATGGGCACTACAGTTTATTCTGAGTCAGTCCCAGTTACACTGTCTTCCTGCTGTGTATTGATCCACAGCTGAAAATAGTCCCAGACAAATGCACTATTTATTGACTTTTGACATGTCCAGCCGTTTGCAGAAATACGTGAGTCTTTTTTTAAAAGTGAAACTAAACATATTCTGATGTTCTGCTGCAGTATTGAGAGACCGTGTCGGTTCTTAGCATATGTCAGCTACCCATCAATGAACAACCTCCTCCCTTTTTCAACAACCCATACCCATCGGTCTTCCTTTTGGTACCTGACTGTGTTTTAGCCTCATTTAGTCTTTGGAGGAAAATGTGCATTAGTCAGATTTGAGTTCATATGATTATTGCCCATAGGCAGCTATTAAATCTGTAGCATTTCAACCTAACAGCCCAGCCATAAATCCTATAATTTGAAGCTTTTAATGCTATTTGCAATGTGCTTTTCGTGTGGTTTCTGGGTAAGGTATTCAAGCCACTGGCGTAATTGTGCTTGAAGTGAAACCATCTACTTCAGCATCAATTTGGTGGAACTAAATGCATGAATTTTGGTCCTCAAAAGTAGTGAGTCTCAAAAGGAAGATTTGACTACCAATAGAAATGGTAACAAAGACAACAAGACATCTAGAAAACTTATGAATTTCAATTAGGAGCATGTAGACAGCCAGGCAAAGCTGACTGTCTCTCCCACAGGACATCTTTTAGCACTATTCATCATCACCTGGGCCAGACACTTCCCCAGATGATTCAGCATGGCAGCCTGCCCCACAGTGCCAATTCTAATAGTTTGTTTAGCTAACCACAGTGAAAGGCTATTAATTTCGTCCGTCTCCCAAACACACATAAACAACCTCACACACACATTTCATCTGGATCAGTGCGTTTTCTAAAGAGCTTCTCATCCTGCTGAGAAACAGGCACAAATAACAGACAGTGGAGAGGGGAGCCGAAGAAAGGAAAACATAATAGTAATCATTAGCATGATAATCACTTGTATCTGTTGGTAAATGACTTTAATGAAGACCAATTGTCCGACTTTGCTTGTAAATTACAATAAGTAAACTTGGGTAACAAGAGGGACTGTGTGATTTATGGCTCAAATAATCACTAATCTTTCTCTGTCTCTCATCTGCTGCGTCTGTCGCCACCAGATTCAAAGAGTGAGTACCGCTTTTATATTCCAGAGATAAAATATTAATGTCATGACTGCCTTAAACACCTCTCACTGTGATTAATCTGTTGACTTTGATTGTACAATAAAATGGATGAGATCAGAGGGGGCTGTGAAACGGAGAGGACAGCGGACAATCAAACAAATGAATCCTGAAGAACATGGGGTGTAAACGTCAGAGAGTGCGTCTGTGCGGACGCAACTTTAGGAGAATTCATCCGTTCACTATGTTGCTGCTGAAGCTATGTTTGATCTGTTATGATCAGCGTCTTACAGCGTCTGATCCTGACAAACATTTGCCATATTTTGTTGTGTAATTCACATTACTGAGTCAGTTTGCGAACCTAATGAGTCTCCTCTGATCGTACGTTTTAGCCAGTCACACATTAGCATTTCGGCGGATTGGGACATTAGTAAGAGCAGCATGATTTTAATAAGCTGCACCTCAGCGAGAAACAGATGTTTGCTGTTTCCAGCTTGTGATCCCACTCCTTAACTGCTTTCAGGTATCTTATAATGATGATCAAAGTCAAAACAGTCTTGGGGGAACAAAGAGTAACTCAATGTGCCACTTTCTGTCCACAACGGACGCTGTTCACAAAGATGCAAAGTCATGTAGAAAGGCACGTACAGAACTTTTATATTTTGTTTAAAACACGCAGGACAGCACTGACTAAGTGACTCAGAGTTTATGTCTATGCTAGAAGCTGCATGAGGCTTTATTCTAATCCTCTAATCAAGTGGCAAACATTCCTAAGTTTAATATGTTTATATGCAGCTAAGGCTGATGCAGCATCATTAGTTTTGCAAGTAATTGGAAGCAACACTACTGGCAGTGGCAGAAAACGTAAGCAATCAGCAGCACTGTTACACGTCATGCTGAGGGGAACATGAACGTATGGACAAAATTTCAATCCATCAAATAGTTGTTGAGACATTCAACTAAAAGCCAGAAATGTCAACCTCATTGTGGTGGTAGAGAAAAAGGTCAGGGGCCCCCAAATTCAATAGGCTCCATCCCCAGAGGAATCATGGATGTCTGCAGAGGAATTGATAGTAATCCGTTCATTAGTTTTGATATGTCAGCCTGAACCGAAGTGGCCTCACATGGGTAATAACTGTGCTATACAGTGGCAGAATGTGCAATGTGAAAATACACACAGACAAGTTGAACACAAACTTTAAAGCTTAGCAAGTTAGGAGTGATGAGCCCGTCTGCCCGATAACGACTGTTGGAAGACTTTTTAAGGTTGTAATTTTGCCCAAACTTTAGATAACTAATTCCGCGTTTTCCTCTGTGCTGTGTCCAGGCGTCAGGCAGAGTGTGCCAAAACAGCCCGTATCCAGATGGCACTGCCAACAGGCAAACCTGGGGGAGGCACTGCCAACAACCTGTATGAAGAGCTGGGTGACAACGCCATGTAAGTGAAGTGTGAAAGTGGCATTTACATTGATGAGCCAAAGCAGAGGCATTAGCTCGCATTCCGACGGCGGTTAAACTTCAGACTTTGGCAGCGTGACTGCTTTGAGAGCTTTGTGATGTCCGCACATGGAGTCAGTCCATAACATTACGGTTTAACTACTGAAATGAAATATGCTTCTGCTATACTTGTACCCTTGACTATTCACAGCGCCAAGGTTAAGTCCCACATTTTACCCGGCAGGTGTTCAGGGACCTTCTGAAGAGCCATGTTATCTAATGCAGCACACAACAGGAAGTCCTACACATGCAACATATAGGATAATAAGGAAATAAAAATGTCAAAAACCCCATCGTAAATCCATATCACAAATAGAAGAACAATGCACATGAATCACAAATATCAGAAAAACTTAACAAACCTTCAAACTTAACCTTAAATCAAAACCTTAACAGTGCATAAAGAAATGTGATTGCCACTTAAAGATGCTTGTAGAAGAACCCCAGATGCAACAGTGCAGAAGTGATGATCAATAATTAAAGCTTAATTACACAATTTCACATCCTCATATTTCATTACCTCTGAGGCGTGCACCTTGTGAGTAAACGAAACAGCCTTAAGTGGAAAAGTGGCCTCTGCGGGTGTTCCTCGGGTCACTGATCAATACTTACTCACATTATTTCCAGACGTGTTCAACAAGTCTCGCAAATTGAGATTTACAATCAGGTTAATTGATCAAAGTCTGAAGCCGGTTTCGTGTCAGTCTGACGAATGCTGTCCTCCCACACAGCAGCACACTGTTGTTACCGACTATCTGGTAAAGATTGTTTCTCTAACTAATCATCTAATTGACTGGAATTTAACATGCAATCATCAATCTGGGAGAAGCATCCTGAGCTTTTTCTTGATGACAACTCACAACCACCCCTTTAACTAAAAATAGTCCTCGTTGATTCATCACACTTGACTTGCTTTGTTGAACTTTCCCAGATCGCTCCTAAGCTGGAAGCCTTTGCAAGGATTTATGCGCTCAGTCAAAATAAATGTCCTCAGGCGCTTGTGAATGTGGCCTTTCAATCTTTTTTTTTTTCCTTTTTTTTTGGTAGTCTGGACACATTTCCATTCCTTGGTTTTGCGGTGACCACAGACGCTGACTTTATGTAGAGATGATACAATCTTGGATTAATCAGGAAGAGCCTTGTAACCTCACATCAAACTAACCCCAAACAAAGCTCCGACTTGTGAATGCTTTAACAAATGTAGATAAACCCTGCAGTTTTATCCTCGCAAAGATCAGTGACATTCAGCTCCTTCCTTGTCAGTTTTCATGTTGTAATGCATACCAATGTCCTCGCTATGCGAAAGATGAAAATGAAGGTCACCGGTCGGCCCCTTTGGAGCAGAATTCCCTTCGAGAGCAGCTTCTCAAGTTCACTTCAGATTCTCATCCATCGATGGCTTTCAATATCATGTTAATTCCTGTAATCACAAGTAAAACAAACTGTTTACTCGGGTTATTGAAATGTCCAGGTTTCGGTCGAGTCCTTCAAAAATGTATCATCTGCGAATGACCTTTTACTTCATCAGCCTTCACAGCCGATTGTTTTTGTGAGTATTTGCTCTGCAAGACATTCATTTGCGGCGTCGCTAATCATGAGGCCATGGACCATTGACAGTGAATTGAATGAATACAGATAAGCTTTTTGTTGATTATGGTGAAATTGCTTTTACTTTTTATTATTTTCGTCCTACATTCAACTCCCATCTGGCCTGAAGGGCATTCATTGCCCATCCACTCTGTGCAGCCTCAAAAAAAAAGTTGCTTAATTTTCTGTGCAATTTAGTCATATTCCCTCCTCTTTTCACCGTCGCTGCTTTGTTTCTGTTTGTCTGCCTGCAAATTGTGTTTAATTTATCCTCCTGCCAATTTGCTGGCTTGATACATGTTGATTTGGTTAAACAAGAGTCTAATAGGGACTGCATGTAGAGACACCGTATTAGCTTTTATCGGAAAGTTTCTATGACCACACACACACACGGGCGCGTGCACGCACTCAAGGCAATGCACAGATAGTTAATTCATAATTCCTTACTGGAGCGTTACGAAGAAGTTGAGAGGAATTCTTATCAGAATTACATGCATCACCGGTTTCCTGTCTGTCCTTGATATGCCTCCACACTCCCATTAACATGAGAGCAATTCATATGCAAGATGGTAGGAACTATCTCCAAATGACAACAAGGGATTTCCAACTGTGTTCGTCGGTGTGTGTGCGTGCGTGTGTGTGCGTGTGAGATGACTAAAGCCCAAGCGATCCGCTGAAAAATGTGTGCGGAAATGAACTTGGATATGAGATAATTGAAATAAATGCAGCTCGTAATTTATAAAGACCACCCTGGGCGATAATTAATTCTATTGATAAACTGCAGAGCATGTTTAATTGTGGTGGGACGGTCTTCAATGTGTGTGTGTGTGTGTGTGTGTGTGTGTGTGTGTGTGTGTGTGTGTGTGTGTGTGTTTGCAAAACAGGCAATTTGGGATTTCTTCTGCAAGACTTGTGTGCGTGTCTGCGTTCTATATCGCTGCCATCTTGTCGGGACTAAATAATTCGTAAAAACTATAAAACCCGGCAAAGTGTAAAAGTTTGCACATTTCTAATTACGGTCCATTATTAAAGTGCTCAGCAGACTGATTTTCAAGCCTTTTTTTTTAGTTTAATTACCTTTGGCTGTTCTCGTGACAGTCTCAGGTTTTAATGTCTGTTTTCAATTACCTGTGAAAAATTAAGTGTTCTGTACCTTATTATTAGCAGCTCATTAAATGAAGCATGATTTTTAAATGTTATATTAAAAGTCACACTATTCAGTTATACAGCACATTCTCTCCTGTGCTGGCTAAATAACAGCTCATGAAAAAAAAACAGCAGATATGAAAAATATGTTCCCGTATTTTCAATTACTTTCATTAGTGTATTTGTTCAGACGTCTGCTCTGTTATAATGTTCTCCCGCTGGCATGGGTGCTGTAGGTTTATCATTTTTTTGTTCTCTGACAGAAAACCACTTAGTTAGACTTTCAGTTAAAAAAAAATATGCAGATGAAAAGCAATAAAACTTTTGGATAATTTAGCTTTATATGCTCATAATATTCAAAGTGAAAAGATTTAAAAGAAGCAGAAAATAGTGACAAAAGGTTTAGATTTTTACTCTTTATTTTCTGTTGAAGATAAACAAAGTGATCAAGAGTTGAAAAACGGAACTGTTTTTTTGTGGGTTTTTTTAATTTACTTCATTAACAGATAATAACTAAGTTGTGTTTTATTTATATTTAACTGAAGATCATGTTCACATGGTGTGGAGCACTAGCAGAGCATTATAAACAAAATAATGACCCATGGCATTGCTGAAGCACAACAAATGTTACTTCACCCTCTGGACCCCAAAACTTTTTTTTGTAATGGCCAAAATAACACAATTTATTAGAGCCGCAAACTGAAAACAGAAGGAATCATGGAATCCATTGGTTTGGGTCTTTGGACTACTCATCTGTTACCTGCTTTTCATTGTAAATGAACCAAAGATTTCCTTAAGATTGCTTTCATTTACGTCATGTTTTTGTAAAATACGTAAGAAATCCAACTTCAAACTGTGTCATACTGCACAGAAGTAGTTCTCACAGCTTCTAGCCGTGGTTGTGCTGTTTCCATAGAGGGGCAGGACTTTATATTGCAGTGAAAAATGAACCCGCAGTAAATAAATGTGAGTAAAGCAGTTTATACAAAGGATTCTTCAGAAAGGCCCCTAATTTCCATATAGCTTTCAGGTTTTCTGTTTCCAGCAACAATATGAGTTTAAACATAGACGGACAATTTAATCAATACTTTGGGAAATGCCTTTTTCCCCCAATATTTTATTATTATTTATTACATTCTTACATGCAAACAAAACATGAATATTGTCTCCCAAACTATTAGGCTCCAAATCCTCTGGTTTCCAGCAAACGCTTTATATCTTTCAGTAAACTTAGAAAATCCAGTGTTGTTCTCTGTAAAACTACAAACAGCCCATCTGTGCTTTGGTTGTCATAAAACAGACACTTCTTCAGTTTGAGCTTTTATTGAAATTAAATTCCTCATGATGTTATACTGATGAGCTTGATTTGCCATCTTTGCAGAAACAGCAAGATTACTGGTTATAAACCCAGAAACATTATTTAGAACTTACAAAATAGACTCTATTCTCCATCACCAACTATTTTTTTTAAAGGTGCTTACCCCCTCGGGCAACAGTAGATGGGATAAGGCATCTGTTAGGTGTAAATGTGTACCATAAAAGTGACACAAGGCAATGAAGCAAGACTGCTCTAATGTTCACCCAGAAATCCCAGAGCGCGCTGAGAACGAGGAAGCTGCTTCGTCAAAGAGCGGAAAAATTAGCAAATTTCACCCCAGTGTTGAAATGACTTCTTAACTTTTTCTTTTTTGCTATATTCTGTGGAGCTTTTATTCTGCTGGAGCTCTTTTCTGTCGCAGCTTTGACCATTTTAACATCATTCTGTTATCATTTCATCACTCTGCTGTTCCTGTTCTCTTCCATCCACCTTCATCCTTGACTGACAGACAAAAGTGAGTAGACGGTGGAGAACGGCTTCACGTCAGTAGTGTAGTTTTTGTGTTTGTGGCTTGTACGTTGGTAGATCTGAGAGCAAATCCGCGCTGATGAAGGTTGATTTAGCGTAGAAGTAGCCGGTCGTGTGCCATGGGAGTCTGCAGGGTTTCAGCAGTGACTTCATCTGCTGAAATTCTTTCACTTCATAATCAGTCTTTTGTTGAAAGGAAATCTGCACACTCTCAGAACTCCGTGACACACCAGTTGTCTATCCCTCCCCCGGCAGATGTGGCATTGTTTACAGCACAGCAGCAGCATCTTTGTGGCGTACTTAAAATCTACTTGTATTCTTTTCCTTTGTGTTTCAAATCTATTTTTTAGTGCTCCGTCTCA